CGACCTTATACATAGATTTTGTAACGTTTATCATTTAGAGTAAGAGTATTTACTAAGCTGATTGCATGTACACGAAAAAGTTTGTCGCACATGATAAATTTATGGAACTCCAGCTAGAAAGCCGACGTATATTCGCTCAATATTAGCATGTACAAGACGATAGCCATGGATGTAACGACGGTGAGAACTGAACGAACCAAACACCACTGTTAAACTGATTATTATCAGCGATCGATAAATCTGCTTCAATTTGTGTTACCTGTAAATACGTCGTTTTAAATATAATCATAGAAGTTCTACTACTCCATGTGAAAGATAATAACAATCAAATACTTCCACACTGCTACGATAACTCACTTATCTTGACTTTCTTTAGCAAAACATATAAATGAAGCATAGCAAACAATCATTAGGATGTTGACGGCCATTATGTAGTATCCAAACACCTTATCGATCAAACTGGTCACTGGAGCGGTGATGGAGCAGACAACCTTCCTGAAATTTGAATCCATTCCTTATTCATAGCCGTCGCACATGGATGTATTCTTTCTATCTTTTTCTAACCATAATTTCCACCATTTTTGATATTAGGTTCAAGAGAAAATTTTCATCGTTTGGATGGGAATGTCGTTTTTTCGCATGAATCGTGCGTGATTTTCATATAATTTGAAAGGTCTACTTCTTGCGCATCTATTGATATAGAATTTGTCTATATCTGCTGCAGAATGGAATTGTCCAGGGAACAAAAACGTTTGTTCATGCTTTACGAGTACAAATTTGGTTCAAATGCTGCTAATGCTGCTCGCCGAATCACCAAAAGCTTGGTGCGACCGTACGGTTTTAGAGTCAACACTCCGATCTGATTAATCTGATTATTACTAACTGATTACGGCCTTTTCCGATCATGCTACACTTTTTGGAAGGTCGCCGATTTGAATCTTTCCATGAAGTTGAAGGAGCTTGTCAAGAGTTCTGTGATTCAAAGCCGAAGGAGTGGTACTTCTAGCAGATCCGAAAACTGGCGGACCGAGGCAAAAAGTGGTGGATAATGATGGCGTGTATTTTGAAGAATAGTTGTTGTTGTTTGTTGTCTGAATATATGCATAAATTTTCAATAATCTATCAAACGATGGAAACTTTCTTTACTACCTAGCATCTATAAAGGTAGCTTTTTCAGCCTTTCTGTCCAAGCGATGTGTCTAATTGTTGCACTTCAGGGTATCTAGTAAGCTAAGAGCGATTGCGTCCCGAATAGTTGCTTTCTATAAAATACTAGGTGTATAGAATAGTTTCACTGGGCTTGTGCTTGCTGGTAGATTGTTTGTTTCAAATAACTAAATGAGATTTCCTGTTTTTTGAAGTCTTGGAACACAGAACGACACCTACATCTCATATAGCTTCTTCATCGAGCGATCAAGCTGCTATTTTGAAGTTTTCGTTCTATTATTTTAACCATCATTGCTCTGAACGTGAGTTGATATGCCACTATAAACCAAGTAATGTCAGGGTATCCGTTTGAGATACCCGGATTCTACGCTCGACTAATTTGTGGCGGGATCCCAAGCAGCTGTCAACACGTCTCCGAATCATTGATATCGAACTTTCAGGCCAATCATCACACTACATGATGCACGCGTAAATATTCATTCAAATACAAGACATAAATCAGTCAGCTGCAGCAAAGACAAAGTAGCCAATGTCCGAATTCAGCTGCGCATAATGTCAATCAACATGTTTGTCTTATGCACCGTGTTGCAGTTATTCCCCCGAATAACTTCTACTTTCCTTCCTCTTCTACGCTTATTCTATCACACATCGTCAAATAATTGATATTCTAATTATAGATAATAGAAAAAGTGAGGCAATGAGTCATATCGTTGGTTAGTGAGCTAAGCCGGCGCATCTACAGTTTATGTGGCTCGCTGCTGTTCGGACGGTTTCCAGACAAAAGGACGGACTGAGAACTCTCGAGTGACGGACTAGTGCACGGCTCCGATGACACTTTAGTCGCCTCATATGGCTTTGAATCAGCAGCCGCCATTCAAACCTTTCGCTTACCTTCTTAGATAATCGTGGCTTCACTTATCTCAATAGGCTTTCTCGTCCATTTGCGAATAGCATAGTCTCAAATCACCTCATCAACACTAACTACGCTCCCAAGTCGCTGTCAACATAATAGTGTCACGCTTTGATCGCTTAAGTACTTCACTCCAGCCTCTTAACCGCATCTCCACACTCCTATTTACCTAAATGCTCTCCATACATAGTCGTATTCCGCTCTTATGTTATTGGTCTCCAATTCGAGCCTAAAGATGCCCCGTTGAAGTCGCCCAACATCCGGGTCATTGCGTGCTCTCCTGCCTTATCCCATCTGCGCTCATCTCTACATTATAAGCTCAAATCAAAAGCATGTATGCCTCTCTTAGTAAGTGGTCCCTAAATAATTCTGTACTGCCATTCAGTCCCACATCCTGAAATGCTGTACTAGGTTTTTATCCCTCATTAACATATCCTACGATCTGGATTAAAACTATCCAGCTTCCATACGTCACTCTCCAAATTTTGCATTGTTTCATAAGTTTACTCAACATAATGCTCACTTAGGTTGCTTTCAATGCTATCGAATCATATCCCCCAAACCTGGCAATATCACATCATACCTCCTGTCAGGTCTTAGGAGTCCATTGCTAATCATCCTATCTTACGTACATGATTTCATAGACCTGCCTCCCTCTGATACTCTGTTATTGGTTCACATATTACCAATGACTTATACTCACATTTATGAATATCGTTATTTGTTGTCGTTTGTGTTGAGAACTGAAAATTGTGAGTTTTTGGTGCGTGTTACCCCTTAGGGACGGCTATAGAAATCGATGCGCGCAGAGCAAAACAGACGATTTTCGCTATTTGATTAAGATTTTCACGCCGATTTGCGAAAATTTAGGAATTCTCGTACTATGTTGATAGGAAAAGATTTCCTCTTCTCGCTCATATGATTTTCGTTTGAATATATGCGTCTTCTATAAAGAAAAACGTTGGGTTATTACGGAAATATGCTGAATTTGACAATCAATCAACTCTATTGCTTGTATGGAGGCTATCACAATAGAAAAAACTCTGGTTCTGATCTACCATAGTTTTATACAAAGTCCAAAAACCATCACAGTGAATAAAAATTGAAAATAATGACTAATTTACAACAAAAATGTTAATGCATGCCGTATTCAATACAAGTTCATCGATAACTCTTACTATAACTAAGTTTATATCAATCATTCGTTTATTTTCAGTTATACAGAGTTGAGGTAAGCGAGAAAAGGTTGAGTGCTTATGGATAGTGGAAAAATTCTGAGCGGTAAGGGACATGTTTGAATAATAGGCCTTGAACATCGGCATTATGCAAACTATTGGTCAGAATATGTATCTCCGGAGTAGTATTCTCGGTACTTCTCTCCCACCAGCACCCTCAATCAAATAAAGTATTTTTTCTTCCTTCGAGGCTTTAGTAAGTGTCCCACAGCTTGAATATCGATACCTGAAGAGTGTACTTTATTTTTCAAGCGGTTTCTATATTGCTGTAAAGGTGAAGTAAAATTTCCGATACTTATGTGTTAGACGGCGACAAATTTTTAAGTCGATCTCATTCGCTGGCCAGGATCTTTTCTTAAAAGTGTTAGCATTCATTGAAGAGCTCAAATCTCTAGCGAAGTCTTCCTCAAAAACTAAGCATATCCTTCGAATTTTTGAGTTAAATTTGCCGAGATTTGTGTTGTTGAAGAACTGCTGTTTTTTTTTTGAGGAAAGCGTTGCTCATCGAAAGATGCTCAAGTGTTAAATAACATATTCTTTGCCCTGTTACTGTGTAATACAGAGACCTCTAAAAATAAATATATCTTCCAATTTTTCAAGATTTGAGCTATCGAATAGCTACTAAAATGTCTAGAAAGAGCGAAAAATACTACTTTTTTTGGATATGGGTGGTGATTGGGGAAGTAACGCATTATGCGCAATGATCAACGCGCGCTCTTCCGACACTCACTCAAGCTACATATTAGAAATACCTCCACATGGACCTCTATTAGAAATGTTTAGTTGCAAAGACGTGCTTTCAAGCTACGTTCTTGCAAGGCAGGCGATACAAATGCACAATAGCGGTTGAAAGTTTGCTTTTGTACAACGATATGGTCTTACCGCTGAAAAATGAAGGATTTCAAGCGAAGTAGTCACTCTTTGTATTGAAAAAATTTTCGTAGAAGGTTCATTCGAGATATTCCGTCCTTTATGTAACGATAAGACACCTCTGAGGTATAAAATTCACCTATAAATACCAATAAACCACCTATGACGTCCGAGCGGCGAGGTAGCATTTAAGGAGTGAAATGTGATCTTCTTTTCCCACTTACGGCGTTATATGGCAGCCTTTCAAAAAACCAACGTTATCACCAGAATCCTCTAGGTTTGTACCGTCTAATAAGTATTAAAACGTTAGTGAAGAGCCATATACTGTCCACAGCCGGGCAAATGAAGAAAATTGAGTGTGAAAATAATTTATTTTCTCTGTTACAACATAATAAAGAGCTTTTTTTGAAGCTGAAAAAGTTTTTGAAATCGCAGAAATTTCAGCTTTCGAACGATCACCAAATGTTCAAGAGAAGATTTTTCTGCAGCGATAAAGGCCTTCCAACAATCATGTACCTGAGCTGGTACATGCCGTCCCTTGGGGGTTAAAAGTGCGGGAACAAAAACAAACAAGCAATTTGAGTGCACTGGTGACCGTGTTCAAATGTTGATCCACAAGTGCAACATGTACTCGTAGCTCACTGCTAGGACGCCGACTGCCGCGCTTACGATCCAGGTCCGTCTCCCGGCCAATGTGATCAACGCATCATGTAGTGGTGACCCGTAATCGAACGTAGGTCGTCCAATGTACCTCACCGTCATTTGGTGCATCGACGACCCACATTCCAATACGGGACACCACCACATGGCACATTGGCCGCATTGGTCGGGAATCGAACCCGGATCGCATGCGCGGCAGTCGAGCATCCTACCACTGAACCACGAGTGCATGTTGCCTCACTGCCTAACATTTGAATACGAGTCGCCACTGAATCTTCTGCACTCGACCACTACATTAGGTCTGCGATTTCGACCTTGTAAAACTTTTCGTACCGTTGATCGTACAGAAGAGTACATTTAGAGTATAGAAGAACATCTGACTGCATAGCACACGAAGGAGTTTGTCGCACATATTAAGTTCACAGAAATTCCAGCTAGAAAGCCGACGTATATTCGCTCAATATTCGCGTGCAAAACGATAGTCGTTGATGTAATGAATGTCGAACTAAACGAATAAAATGCCACTGTTAAACTGATTGTTATTAACGATCGATAATTTTGCTTCGAATTTCTGTTACCTCTTATTGTTTATCTCTCTAAGTAAAAAAGGATAGCAGAATCAATATTTCCACATTCCACGATAATTCACTTATCTTGACCTTCTATAGAAAACATATAAATGAAGCATAGCAAGCAATTATTCTGATGTTGACGGCCATTATGGAAACTCGAACGCCTTATCGAAAAGCCGGTCATTGGAGCGGCGACGTAGCAGACAACCTCTTTGAAATTAAAATCCTATCCTTATTCATGACAGTTGCTCATGTATGTGTTCTTTCTATGATTTTTCAACAATTGATTTCCACCATTTTTATATCTATAAAAGCACGGAAGCAGTTGCTCTCTATTTTACTGCTGGACGTCTAGAACGATTTGGATGTGGTCACACTGGAGATGTTAGGAGAATTGGAAATCTGATCAGGAGCATGATAATTTTCTTTAGGGCAATCAACTAAAAGGAACACGTAGCGGGCAAACACGTGCGAATGTCCGGTGTCAAATTAACACAATAAAATGTGGTAAAGGACGGAATGAACGTGAATAATTAAAAGTTAGGATCCATGAAACGATAGAACGAAGTCTCCTTATAGTTCAATTTGGTTCTTACTACAAGGGTTTACTGGTAATAGAGAATATATCGAGAGTTATTAAAGAAATGGCATCACATACAGTGTGCAGCATCACTTTTGACGAAGAGTTGATTCATTTCTCTCTTTCAGTCACTATCATGACATTGGGGCATTTTATGACATGAAATAGTTTCAAACTAAGAACGTAATTTCTTATTTCAGAAAAACAAACCGGTAAAGTGATCGATTTATTAATTATTACTAATTGCGACAAAGAGTAAGAACTAGAAGTTGTTAGCATGAAAAATATAAGATAAATGTGGTCGAAATTTGAATGAATATGTATAAGACAGCATTGAGATGTTCAATAACAGCTTGAAAGATCGCGTTTCTGCTACGCCATCTTATGATTTATAATAGTCCAAAAAAGAGCTCTGTCAGCGAGGAGTAATCGCTAGATTTGTATGGAGATCATAGCGCTATATCAGGGTATTTTGAAAAGCCGGCAACGTGGGGCTGTAGCCTCAAGACTCAGCTTTTGAATTGTTACTAGCATTTCTAAGAAACAATGAGATCGGTCTATTACTAATTCCCATATAATCAGAAAAACCAAATTAACTTTCAAAAATTACTTAATGCCAACTTTGAAAAACGTAGGCACACCATCATGCATGTGGCCACGAGAGACAAACCGTTTTGCGCCAAGTTGGGAGATGATGTCCAAAGTGGATTTCAAGAACAAAACGAATAAACTGTATTTATGTAAAGATACAATAGCAAGATAATAAAATTCAAAACTACAGTTATAAGTCGATCTTCCTCAGAATCGCCGACGATGACCCGATGTTGTTTCATTTTGAATGGAGCGAGAGGCTGAGATACTCCTTTCATGTTCTGCATTTCAAAACCGTGATCATCGACAGAGTTGACTGCAAACGTTTCCGATGATATTTTGGCTGAACGATACGACGTTAGTCTGATATCTTACCCTTTCAATAGACTACACCCATAAACACTCACTTTAATTGGCGAATCAGTACTTTCGTCATTGCCTAGAGGGTGTGCTAAAGTGAAATTCACCTTTTTGTCTTCTAGTGTGAAAGCAGACTTATGCGGAGATAATCTTTTCTTCGTTCTTCCCAATTCGAAACGGTCATCATCGCAGTAGCAGACAGCGGGCATTTAGATTTATCTGCCACATTGGGCATTGTTTCGATATCCAAATTGTTCATGAAACTACAACTGAGAACTACCTTTTTTGCCGGACTGCTGAACTGACCTGGACTCCACACCTGCGCCTTTCAAAGGAATCAGTAACCATACGACGATGATTCTCCCTTCGTTTCCAATTCAAAGTGGTTATCTTCGTCAGAAGGAGACATTAGAAGTTTACGCTTGTCATCTACCTCGAATAATAAGTGTCCACTTGATTTTCAATTAATTAATAGAACTACAACTGAGAATTACCTTTCTTGCTGGACTACTAATTTCGTCGTTCCCTAAGACATCTGCTGAACTGGATTCCATAATCATGTCTTTCGAACGAATGGAAAGACATATAGCCATGATCTTTCCCTAGAACTGCCCCCAAAATGGTCATATTCGTCATAACTATACGGTAGACGCTTCCGCTTGCCTAATGACTATAACGTTGAGCATTGAATTAGTAGAACTTGTATTACTGAAAATTACTTACCTTTATTGACGGATATATCAATTAATCGTTTTTCTCACTTCTTATTGGAGAAGAATCGAAATCGATGCGATGCTATTGTTACCGCCTCCTCCCTGTAACTTTACAATGCAACGATTACATGGCTTTCCTTTCCAACATTGTTTTCAGATAATCTTTGAACCCTTAACCTTTTCATATGGAATCTTTTCCGCTTTTTCCTTGAACCTTTAATGATTATTCGCTAGCTTGAACCTCAGCGATCTCATTACTACTTGGCCTTCAAAAACGGTTAATTAGTGTGCTGTAACTGCGAAACTGAGAATACGTTTCACCTTTGCGGTCACTTTTTGTTCGGCTAAGGTTCATAATCGACTTGTTATCAGACTTTCCGTGCACATTCGATAGCTTGAAAAGCGGTGATTCTGTAACCGGGTTTGGTCTTTGAAAAAACCGTCACAGAGCGATGAAAGAATGAAAAAAGTTTTCGTTGGATACTTGAAGACAGTAAAAATTTATGAACGTGCGGTGGAAATCACATTATATCACAATACCTGATTGTTGAATTGTCCGTATGAGAATTGCAAAAAAAGCTTGTGTTGTAGCTTACTTGCTATATGCTACTAGCTTTTGGTTTTCAGTTCATAAGGCTAACTACTTCGGATGTGAAACGTAATCTCTCTCCGCTTTGAAATCGTGCAGAATTAAGCTATCGAATGGCTGCTAAACGAAGCTTGAAGAATGTGAGAAACAATTTTAATCCGGATGCTACAACATCGACAGATTTTTCTGAAAAAATTAACCGAATCACTATGAAAAGTGCAGTGGAAAAGCTATCTTTGGCAAAAAAAAAACCGTGAGTACAAGTGTACAGTATACCAAACACTCCGTCCCTAATGAATCAAATGATTCTGGTCTATTACATAGTACGATGACAGCCGAATATCAGCCCAAAACAGTGTTGTGAGTATTAAGTATCGGCTGCGCATTGCCTTACTACTTCCTTCATAACTGATATTCTCGTCACCCTCATCTGTTCCAGTATTTTGTGTCCCTCTAGAATGTCGGCATCATTGGCAACATCCACGCAAATTTGCTCATAAAACAGAATTTTCACGATGATGGCAAACTGACTTGGTAGGTTTCGTCTTAATCCGCGGCACAATAGTAGCATCAAGTGCTCTGAGTTGGTGTTCAACTTGTCGTCTAGGTTTCTTCCCACTAAATCGTGGCATCACACAATCGATCAAGTTGACTTGAAATTTTATTTTATAGCTTGAATTTTCAAATTACGCAACCTCGTGATGAGCAAAACACAAGACCTCCTTCAAACTTGTGCAAAGAAACGGTATTTGTGAGACTATGAACAAATTTAGTTCATGACCATCTTTGTCCGTCTCGTGATACTGGTGTTTTAGAAGTTTTGTCTAGGCTTGCAACTCTTCGTCCAACTCGTCGATTTACTTGGCCTTCGAATTCCAGGCTTTTGAAGTGAATTTGAACACTCATGCTGATCAAAGAGATATTAACGGGGAACTCAAATGATTTTTATTGTCCAAGGCTTGACCAAATCACGTTGTTTTCTTCTTCTTCTCATAAGTGATCTAATAATTCTTCTTTTTCTCATAGATAATCCTCTTTGCTTAAATATTCTTTGTCGTGAGAATTGTCCGCCTTCGTTTTCAACTGAGAAACCCGTAAAATCTGCACCATGTCTTCTGGATTATCCGGGAAAAAATTTTTGCAACTTCTTTCAAATCCTTAAGTAATTATAGGAATTATCACATCTTGTTTGTCGATATAAAGATTTATTTTTAGAGGAAATGATAATATTTATATGAGAAGATTCTAATCTCTGTCACCACATTTTAAATCGCTTCATCAATGGAAAAAAGTTGCCCACTCCTATGTGATGTCGATTTCTGGACAACGATTTCCTGGAATTCCTGTCCTCAATACAATCGTCGTGAACTGAATTCACTTCTTTGAATACAGTAAATATGAAACCTCTGATAGGTTGGAAGTGGGGTTCGGGTCACTATATCACTTTGCTGTCATTACAGTAATCGTCGTTTCAACGAAACCAAGCTCAAAGCAATATCCTTCCCTTTGTGAAACGAAACATGTGGATGAAGGTGCTGAAATCCGCACAAAATGTGTGTATAGGTGGCACAACTATGCAAAATCGATGGAGTTTTGTACTCCATCTGAGCCATTTTTACATGAAGGTCCGCTGAACATGAGTTTGCGATTCACCTACGTTGAGATCAGCGTCTCCTCTTCGATTGATAGATGCTAACTACCGTAACCCAACTGATCTTCTCCAAATCATTATCGAATCCTTTGTAATATAAAAGGATCAAGGATGCAGCGCTTGACGTTTAACCAATCTTGAAGATTGTATAATGCGTTCATCTTCATTGTTGCTTCGGTAAAATACTGTTAGAGTAGTTTAAATCTTGGAAATCTCGATGGTGTACTTCATTCTCAAAATGGCTTCCCCTGATGCGCTTTAACAGTAGTAACGCGTTGATTAGTATATAATTTATCATTCGTTCGTTGATGCGTTGTTGATAATGATGCTGAAGCATCTTGATGAGTTCACTTGCCACCGTTGCATTTCAACCCTACGGCCTCGTGCATCATCAACAACCTAATTTGCTCGCTAGTTAACCCGGTTTTGAAATAAGCAGATAAATTGCACACCAATCAACACGGGAGAAGACGGGCATTTAAATGAGACCGAAAACACAAAAAATGGCCGACACCCAAACAAGCCTCTTCTTGAAACTTTTTCCGTAACCTATTACAGAGGAGTTGAAACACTACGAGGAGATAAAATGTGTTCAAATTTATTTTCGAAGTAAAATTTTGAACATGCAGGTGGAAGGCATGCTTCCTGATTCCTTTAAACAATGGATATAAAGGCTACGGCTCACAAACAGCATGTCAGCACTTCACTTTTTTATGAAATATTATTTTATTTTATGTGTTGGAAAACTATTTGCTAGTCCGGCCTTGATATTAGCAGTTCTAAATTAATTGAACAGCATGTGTATTGCGTTGCGGAGTAGATCTCATATTGTCATATTCCCCTCGTCATATTGAAGTTGTTACTGTTTCTGAGACGCACAACATAAAAGGTAGACCTGCATCACGTGAAATCCTTGTAACAAAGAAGTAACTCGAACAAGCGCCTCCATGCTCCTCTTATACTCGAAACGCAACACAACTGCTAGACCTCGCTTGCTCAAGCGATTTCATCAATATTGTGCTCACGATATAGATCGCTTCAGATTTCAGTCTCTTGCATAGTCAAGCAAACGTACTTCTACTATCGGATCAAATTACAACACTCTTTGTGATCTGGATTATAATGACCAACGGTTTCAATAAAGTTCAAAAACTAGAGGTTCAAATATAGAGGAAAAGGGGCAATTTCAGAAAATCTAAACCCATTCGTAACGCAAATCCAGCAACTTATCCTTCTACATCAATGATTTATTCACTGGATAAAATATTGGGAATGATAGATCATCACTGCGAGAGGAAGACTGAGAGAAAAGCTAAGCCAACTTAGTGGCGTAAAGGATACGTGTTTTAAAATATATACAATACTGAATATTTATTCATTTTTATAATTTTTCAGATAATACGTAATGATATTCAATAGACAACTACAAAAGTATGTAATATCCATATTTATTGATAATCCGACAGTACTCATATGTCAAACTATCTTCATAGAAATAGATAAATACGTGCCTAATATTGTCCGTCTTCTGACCATCCTCCGAGATTATCTTATTATTTACGAAGGTAATGCTAAACGTCGATCGGTTACCGGAGCAATAGTAATTGCTCTAACTGCAGAACTGCCTTTGATTCCAAAAAATCGTTTCACGTTTATAATGTGAAGCTTCTCGTCGAACTGTAGGCGATACTCTTTGCTGAAAATGAAGTAATAAGACTAAAAAGACCATTATTCGATTTTCAACTATTATTTCTCATGTACAAATAGCTATCTTTATGATATACATAATATTATTTATCTCTTTACGCACGACCCTCTGTGGTAGTAATGCTGTGCCGATTCAAGTAATTGCACTTGATTTGTTTCCTTATATTATCATTCACAAAGGTCTTTGAATATTTCTCGTGCTGTTTCGGTTTCTGTTTAAAGATCTCGCCTCCTTTATGAATGTTGTAGAATTCTAGTGTAAACGAATCTTCTTGTAGGCTTGGAAATAGCCGAGCTAGGGTGTTACCTAAAGGTTTCGTTGATTGATTGCAAAAGAGTGTTGAAGGAGAGCTCAAATCGCTTTGCTTTTTACCTTCCTTTCTGATACACCACATCACTGACCACTGGATTACCCCGTCATACCCTTCTCTCAATTGTTGTTATCACTGTTATTACTATTATTATCATAATTACTTACATCGATACTTAATGGTCCATCTTCACTAGTTGTGCGGAGCCCAGCACATATTCCAAATGGTATTTGCTGGTCGTGCGTTAGATATTTCTCGGTTACCTGACGTAACCTTGTAAGGGCTTTTTCAGGTCTTCAAGATGTCGCTTCCAAGTAATTATCATTGTTATAATTATTGTCAAAAGCAAATATGACGAATACTCAATTCAGGAAGAGTGTATGGTGCAGAGGTGAATAAAGCAAGCTGGATGGTTCTTTACTTACGGGGTTCACTTCGTATGTGTACCTTGGCCATTCACTCAGTATGGAAAACAAGAATAAGAAGGAATTATGCAGAAGAAGCAAAGCGGCAACCGCATTCAGGCCTTTCAATGAAGCTACCGAGTAAACAAGAAATCGAAAACTTGTGTCTACCTTTTTGATTCAACAATCCCCCAGCATTCTATCACGGAGCAGAGGCGTGTGCTGTTACTCCAGCCACGTCAAAAATTCTGCGCCCCACCCACAGGGCACTTGAATGAAATCTTTTGATGTTTAATCGGCATTTACAACGTCTAGTCGGTCACGCAACCCAGGTCTTCGAAAGTTTCCATCTTCGAATAGCGAAAGTGCACATATCGATAGTCAAGCACATTTGTGTAGGTTACGTAGCAAGAAAATAAATGAGAATTGGACAAAAGAAGCAGTGAATTGGACTCAGAAAGATTGGACTCGCTTTCTCAGACGACCTATCTAACGAAAACGGACGTACTCTTGGCTAACGTCAACTATATGCACCAGCACACGGTAAAGTACTCATGACACGGAATGGCCTTGTGCACTTCATCTTCTTCTTGACAGAGCATCACCATGGTCGACGAGTCGCGCGAGGAGAAACTAACAGAAATAATGCAAGAGTTCGCATCTTCAGTGATCAGGAAATTCAAGTCTTAAATCAAGTATTTGTCCTCAAAATGAAGTACTATGGAAATGTATGACCGAAACTTTTTAAAATCCGAACAACTAGCGAAACATTCCGCCGATTATACTAGGATCTTCAAGCTTACCACAAAGGCATCAAGATGCATGCTTGAAAATCAAACAGCGCTTGTCTCAAAAAAAAGTGGACCGATTTTTGTAAACAGGCCTATGCTCAACTCCGGTATGTGTGACCAATAACTTTTCGGAATGAGGAGCTAAATTGGTCGCACACTCAAAACTACTTCTTGTGAAATACATTACAACGATGGCGGAACTTAGGGCTCTGCGCCGTTTTTCTTCTGTTGGCTGACTGATTCTCCAGCTAATCTCCCCTACAGTTTTCGTCCGTCATCATAATATTATTAAACTGCAATCCATTGAGACTCCGTTAATTAAGATACGCATGGCGCAATACGCTTCAGTTTTAGGGAGTTCATGGAAAAAATCTGATTGTCCTAATGCTGGCCTCTCTCTCCTGTGTTTCACATACAGCAACGCAGTAACGGCTTCCTTCCCACGTGTGTTGTTCCGACGCATCATATGTCTGTTCACTCCACTCCATTCTCAAAATCTTTTGTATGACAAGATGCTTGATTTCTAATCGTCCACATGCTTGGCAATCGTTTAATGAGCGCTTATTAAGGTAGAATCACCTTCTTTGTATCATCTATCGCTACTTTTGAGATTTTTGTCTTTTTCGACAATTTTCTACGAGGCAAACCTTCCCAGAGTGACCGCAACTCTTGAGATTTTAAGTACAACAACTTGGCTGCAGTACCCGCATTCAAATCTTGATCGACTGGTCCAACATGTACTCGTAGTCCAGTGATATGGCGCTGCCTGCTGGCGATCTAGGTCCGTCTCCCGGCCAATACGGTCAAAGCACCATTGTAATGATCCGTATTCGAACGTTGGTCGGCCGATGCACCTCAGCTGCACCAGATCGCTAGCACATGGTGCATTGACCGGCAATCGAACCCAGATCGACAGCGGAGCTACCTGCCACGCGGGCGATCCAGGTTCGTCTCCTGGCCAGTGCGGTCAATGCACCATGTAGTAGTGACGCGTATTCAAACGTTAGTCGGCCGATGTACCTCAGCTCATTTGGTGCATCGGCTGACCTGCGTTCGAATACGAGTAGCTACCACATGGTGTACTGGCCGCATATACCGGGAATCGAACCCAGATCGTCTGCTCAGCAGGCTAGCGCGCTGCCACTGAACCACAAGTGTATCTTGCATAACTCGGCTAACGTTTGGATACGAGTCTCCACTGGATCTTCTGGATATCACCACTACGTTATGGCTGCGATTTCGACATTATAGATAGATTTGGTAACGTTTACCATTTAGAGTAAGAGTATTTACTTACCTGATTGCATAGTAGACGAAAAAGTTTGTCGCACATGATAAATTTATGGAAACTCCAGCTAGAAGGCCGACGTATATTCGCTCAATATTAGCATGTAAGACGACAGCCATGAATGTAACGAAAGTAGAACTGAACGAACCAAACACCACTGCTAAGCTGATGATTATCAGCGAGCGATAAATTTGCTTCAAATTTGTGTTACCTGTAAATATAAATATGTAATAAATATGTAATCATAGAACTTCTACCCTCCATGTGAAAGTGAACAACAAAATAAATACTTCCACATTCTACGATAACTCACTTATCTTGACTTTCTTTAGAAAACATGTAAATGAAGCATAGCAAACAATCATCAGGATGTTGATGGCCATTATGGAGTATCCAAACACCTTATCGATCAAACCGGTCATTGGAGCGGTGAAGGAGCAGACAACCTTCCTGAAATTTGACTTCTATTCTTATTCATAGCGGTTGCACATACATGCATTCGTTCTATCTTTTCTAACCATAAGTTCCACCATTTTTGATATTAGGTTGAAAAGAAAATTCATCGTTTGGATGGGAATGTCGTTTTTCGCATGAATCGTGCTTGGTTTTCATATAATTCGAAAGGTCTACTTCTTGCGCATCTATTGATATAGAATTTGCCTATATCTGCTGCAGAATGGAATTGTCCAAGGAACAAAAACGTTTGTTCATTCTTTACGAATACAAATTTGGTTCAAATGCTGCTAATGCTGCTCGCCGAATCACCAAAGCTTAGGGCGACCGTACGGTTTTAGAATCAACAGTCCGATCTAATTAATCTGATTACTAACAACTGATTACGGCCTTTTCCGATCAATGCAACACTTTTTGGAAGGTCGCCGATTTGAATCTTTCGATGAAGTTGAAGAAGCTTGTCAAGAGCTCTCTGATTCAAAGCCCAAGAAGTGGTACTTCGATCAGATCACAAACCTGGCGGGCCGAAGGCAAAAGTGGTGGATAATGATGACCTGTATTTTGAAAAATAGATGTTGTTGTTTGTTGTCTGAATATATGCATAGAATCTGGATGTTTTATCAAACGATGAAAAGTTTCTTTGCAATCTACTATCTACAAACGTAGTTTTTTCAGCCTTTATATCCAAACGATGTGTCTAAGTGTTGCACTTCAGGGTATCTAGTAAGCTAAGAGCGATTGCGTCCCGAATAGTTTTTCTATAAATTACTAGGCGTATAGAATAGTTTCGCTGGGTTTGTGCTTACTGGTTGATTGTTTGTTTCAAATAACTAGCCGAGATTTCCTGTTTTTTGAAGTCTTGGAACACAAAACGACACCAACATCGCATATAGCTTCTTCATCGAGCGATCAAGCTGCTATTTTGAAGTTTTCGTTCTTTTATTTTAGCTATCACTGCTGTGAACGTGATTTGATATGCCGCTATAAACCAAGTAATGTCAGCGTATCCGTTTGAGATACTTGGGTTGTACGTTCGACTAATTTGTGGCAGGGTCCCCAAGCAGTTGTTAGCGTGTTTCCGAATCATTGATATCAGACTTTCAGACCGATCATCACACTACATGATGCACGCGTAAAATATTCATAAAAATACCACAGCATAAATCACTCAGGTGCAGCAAAGACAAGGTAGTCAATGTTTGATTTCAGCTGCGCATAATTTCAATCAACATGTTAATAGCAAAGGGGACTGATCCTCCGCTGCTATAGAGTTGAATGCGATGTGGCGATCGGGAGTCCGAAGAGTTCGGCCGATGCACCAGAATTATAGCAACGGGGACTGATCCTCCGCTGCTATAGAGTTGAATGTGATGATCGATTGCCAACGTAGGCTGTTACAGCCGACGTGAGTGAAATACTAAATATATTACAGATAATATCAAGACAACCTGAAATATATACACATATATACAATAATAGCACAACAAGAGTACAACAGCAATGACGACACGTAACCGTGACTTCAATAATGGGGAATTGGATGGGATGGATGAGATGGATGAGTTGAATATGTTGGATGAGTTGGATGAGTAGTCTGCGGGGCCGGATTAGGCGGTGGACCTCTGGAAGCAGTTATGCTTGCCCCGAGCAGACCAGTACACCGAGGATGGGACCAGTGGGTGATTAAATATATTAGAAAACTGTGGGTCTGTACGCAAGAGCTGGACCAATCCCCGGTGGCGGCCAAACAGAACCCTATAGGTTTGGTCCACCGCCGTAGCTCCCAGCTCCGCTCACAGAGTATAAGCGGGGTCGATGGACTATGTGAGCCACATACACAACAACGAGGGCAGAGTCAGAAGTCTAGAGTCGGGCAGAGGCGGAGAACCAGAGGAGACAAAGGTGGCGGAGTAAGGCAAGAGGACACGACCGATCAGGACATCAGGACGAGACGACACTGACCGCAGAAGTGGGCGACCCTGATCGCCGCTCCGCAGCAGCGAGCGGCGAGACCACTGGCTGGGTCACGCAGCGATGTTCCTGCCATGGCATTGTCCATGATCGCTCCCAGTTGCTTAGAGAAGTAGCGACCGTTCCGTGGAACGGTTTGCTACAGTGTTTTGCACCGTGTAGCAGTTATTCCCCCGATTAACTGCTACTTTCCTTTTTCTACTACGCTTATCCCATCGCACATCGTCAAATAATTGATATTCTAATTATAGATGATAAAAAAGGTCACCCAATGAGTCACACCGTTGTTTAGTGAGCTGAGCCGGTGGATGGACAGTTTTTCTGCCTCGCATCTGGACGGCTTCCAGGCAAAAGCAGGGACTCAAAAACTCTCGAGCGACGGATTAGTGCACGCCTCCGTTGAGACTTTAGTCGCCTCAAATGGTTTTGAGGCAGCAGCCGCCATTCAAACCTTTTGTTTACCTTCCTAGATAATCTTAGTTATTCACTCATCTCACTAGGCTCCTCTCGTCCATTTGAGAATAAGCATAGTCTTTAAATCACTCCAGCAACACTTCTAAGCTTCCCAAGTCGGTGTCAACATAATTCGTGTCACGCTCTTGATCGCTTAAGTACTTCTCCAGCCTCCTAACCGCATCTCCAGACTCTCAGTTACCTAAATGCTCTCCAAACATAGGTCATTATTCCGCTCTTATGTTATTGGTCTCCAGTTCGAGTCTCAGATGCCCCGTTGAAGTCGCCCATCCGAAATCATTGCGTGTTCTCTTGCCTTATCCCATCTGCTCATCTCTACATTAATAAGCTTAATCAAAAAGCATGTTATGCTCTCTTAGCAAGTAATCTACATAATTCTGTACTGCCATATCAGTCCAAATCCTAAACACTGTGTTAGGTTTATCCTTATCAACATAATTCTACCCATCTGAATGTGGAACTTATCCAGCCTTCCATTAAGTCACTCTCCAAAGTCGTTGCAGTTGTCACTTGGCATTGTCTGATAAGTTACGCAACATAATGCTCACTTAGGGTTGCTTTTGATTTTATTGTATTTTATCCCAAACCCGCACATTACTTCATACCAGCAGTTGTCAGGTCTCAGGTGTCATTGTTACTCACCCGATCTTACGTACATGATTTCATAGACTGCTTCACTCTGATACTCTATTATTGATCGCAAATTATCCATAACTTGTACTCACATTTATCAATATCGTTAATTGTTCTCGTTGTGTTGTTGCATTGTATATTAAGTTTGATTACCCAAGTTTGAGACTGTCTGATCTGTGAAAAGAAGTCGAAAAGTCTCGTGTGGCAAGAGTTACAAGGTGAATAAACTACCAAGCCACTACAACCGATTAAGCCAGCCAAAGGGATAGATTGTTTCGCAAGTAGCCGTAACAATATACTACGCGTAGAGAGATTCTCCTGAGAACGAACGTTACGATAAAAAAAACGTCAACCTATGTTCTCATGTTTCGGCCTTCTTTGGAACACAGATGGCGCTGAGGAAAATTGTGAATGGCGAATCAGCAGTAAGAAATGGTACAGTTATTTTACAAAAAGAGAAAAAACGTACTCTGCCTTTGTTCGCTTAGTAAATATCCACGTGACTATGAACAAAGCGTACAAGGACGCTAGCAGAATGCTTGCTGTCATGTAACGCTTCCGGTACAGCTTGTCTATGGTGTGGCTGAAACGTTTTTGCTGATCTCAATATTGATTAATAGACGTTAGTAGATTGTATGAAAAGTTCTGTCGTATTTTCAAAATGCATGGAAAATTTTATTTGTACACTGGTGAAGCTCAAACATAAAAATCAACATATCTCGTTAGAACTTTCTATAGCGTTGTCACGGTTTATCAGTTGTGGCATACATAGCTTTCAGCGGCATAGCCATGTTCAGTGCCACGCATGTGAACATTTCGTCCCTGCTAATAGCAGGAAGGTGCGAACGATTCCTATGTCCGCTAAGTAAAAGAATGCGGGTGGCTTTTTTCAGTCGACAGTCCTCGGTTGTTATATATTTGGCATCAATATGACTTATGATCGAGTGTTTTTCCTTTGAAACTCGCTGTGCAAAACCCATATATCTTCCTAGAACTTTCTATAGCATTGTCGAGGTTTGCCATTCATGGCATAGAAAAAAAAACAGTCAACTATAAGTCATATTAATACTATATAACAGCTGAAGACTGTCGACTGAAAAAGATCATCTGCAGTGTTTTACTTAGCGGGCGAAACGACTTCTTCGCACCTTCTTGCTTAGCAGGAGCGACCTGTCGAGATGCGTGGCAATGATGATTTCGATGCTGCCGAAACGTACGTATCTCACAATTAACAAACCTCAGCACGCCTATGGAAAATTCAAGAAATATATTGAACTTCCATAGCAAGGTTTCAGAAGAAACAGTCAGCAGTAAGAGAAATTATTAGTTGAAATAGTCCTTTTCTACACCTAGACAATTCAGCCACATATCCGGCAATATAAAGATTTCGCAACGGATTTGTGTTTCACGTCCAGCTGATCACGACTGTAGCGCTCAGACAGTCGAGCACAAGCACTGAATCGTTCTCCTGTTAACCGTTGTCAATTCGTGTAAGACCCGTTTAGATTTCGAGCATTGTTGGCAGGCCTTCCAGAGAATGTGAGAAATCGTCATGGGATCACAATCTAACTCGTCACACAACATCCACCAACTCATTGATAGATCTTCTTCAGTGCGATTGGCAACCGCTTGGCAGTCGACTTTTTGTGTATTTCCCTCTCCTGGCTTCTCTGTTAATCGGTCTCCTTCTTCACAGAATGTCTTGTACCAACGCTGAAATGTACAAACATCGCAGATTTCGTCATCATACGCCTTGCAGATCTGTCGATTAGTTATAGAAGCTTTGACACCCAACTTGCAATGAAAGTGAAGCAGCAGACGATTTTCTTTCATGGACAGCTCCGTTCTGAGAGCTGTCTAGGCAAGTAATGTATCGTTCGATGTTCAAGAAAACGAGCCTTGTGATTAGCTCAAATTCGCACAAAGTACATGTGTGAAAATCATTTTCTAAGGCAATACAAAAGAACTTCTTATGCAGTCTATTATAGCCATAGCTTCTCAAGGCAAATGTTCCGAAAAGAAACTCACTATATCTTATGTATTGATAACAGCCTGTCCAGTGCCACATTGAGAAGCATTAATGTCGAGAATAAACGTCCGAGTAGTGGAAGTGATTGCAAGTAAACACAGATATCTTGACGTATTTGATGATCTTTACTGCTGAATACTCAATGAATAAGGCACTGCTGTCCAACATATTGTAATGTTAAATGAAATATGGACATACTATCACTTATTTGCACTTGAAGTCAACTCTAAACTATGCTACAAAAGAAATTGTGTGTTTGGTGTTTCAGCCTGCGCAGTCTCCATAGCCTCACCACCTAGAGTAGTGAAAAGATTTCAACTTACATGTTGTAAGAAATGATCATGACGTAACTGGAAAAACTCAGTAATATTTCGCCAACCGATATAAATGCAATGAATATGTTGCAGATGCTCCTAAGAGATCTGAAATTTCCACAAATCAGTGAGACATCGGTACAATGGGAAAGGTGATGATGAAAGGAATGCATATCAAATCGAAAACCAAATTGAGGAAGAAGAAACTATGTGACGATAAAATGATATTCGTTTTATTTCAACCGCTTTTAGTGGTGGTATGATGTTTCAAATATATACCCATTGATGTAGTGCAATGTGCAAAACTTTCGCGTCAGGCGGGACTACATCTCGCACCTCATTCTTTCCGAGAATGCGTAAAATGGGCGTCAGTAGTGTAACGGATAGAGCACGCATTCCCTGAAAGAATGAGGTGCGGGTTATAGTCCCGCCTGACGCGAAAGTTTTGCACATTACTCTACATTAATGGGTATATATGTGAAGATATAATTAATTTAATTTAATTGATTAATTAATTAATATGTGAAGATACACCAAATGGCGTAAGTGATGCTCGAAACTTTTGTGCCAGACGGGACTCAAACCCGCATTTTATCCTATTCAGGGTTGCATGCTCTAACCCGTTGCACTGCCGGCGCCTGTTTTGTCACCGCTCTTTTCACGCTATAACCCAGCTTACTGACAGCAACCGACCGTCAATAATTTAGTCCGGGAAGTCGATATCAACATTGAACCCAGTCACACTAACATATATGTGGAAGGAATTTCAATTAAGAGTATCAAAAAAAAGTGCTTACTTTGCTCGTATGGTGACATAGACGATGAACGCATTACCAGTGATGCTAATTATTGGAATTACTATGTAGAATACCTGATATCCAATTGGAATATGTCGAGGGTTCATATCGGCAACTGTAAAATAATTATCACAAATAGATCAACTGTGATGTATGCAATGACCATTACGAGCAACGATTTCCACAAAAAGGGCATTAAGGCGATCGGTGGTTATGTGAAACAATAGGTTTGAGTTCCGTTTTGATGGAGGGAGAAGGACTTGAGCGTTTGATATTGGGTTGGTGTTGAAATCGCAACTTCTTTTTCGATTTGTTTTCAAGACGAAATCAATAGAATGGTGAACAATGAGTTATTCTGCAATACCCCGCGTAGTCTGAATCAGCTTTGAAGACGACCCTCAGGAGGTCGTTGTCATACTCCATCCCCGTCCCCTGCGCTCCTTAGCTTCAAGGCTCTTGTCTCCTACGAAATATTTTGAATCTCCATGCACTCCACGTTCATTATCAGACTCTGGGCCGAATGTGGTGTTGCTGTTGCGAGTTGTCTCTGCTAGTTCACGACCCATTTTTACATCTCGGACTGAAACCGCAAATATTCACACCAACTTATATCCTTCTATTATAAACTAAGATAAGCACAACATAAACAGCGACTAATATATCATTAGCAACATTACATAAGACGAGAAATGCATACTGAAATGATACATAATATAATCACACTTATTTGAGGATATATTTCAATATCAAACGGCACATTTCGTTGTTGCATAAACCCCGATTACTTTTTCACCGACGTAATAGTCGGTATACTGTGAAGCCGTTGGTGCTGCACAACTACTATCACTAAACATCACTCGCACCATTTTTGAAGTTAGCATGCTGTAAAGTCATAAGCGTCACGTATCCAGTAAATAGCACATGAGCCACTTTTGTAGTCTGTGCAATCATTACTTACTTGAGTTCTTTGAGCATCGCTTCGTGCATTGGTATCGCATGATGAAGGTGAACAGTTAACTCCGCTCTCTCGTAATCCACGAAGCGCGTACTCTTAGTATGCTACAGACATTTCTCAGTTGTTTTCAAGTAAAAGTAGTTTACTACGACCTTTGGAATCGCTATGACATAGGTAGAACTCTTGATTAGGTTCTGGACAAAAACATGTATTTTTTTTATTTGGATGATACTGATCTACGCACATCGCAGTTCGACGCCCAGCAATATGTCCCACTTATGAAAAAGTATGGCTTCCGTACAGGTCAAGTAATAATAGTCCCAGCCGTTAATAAAAGTAGCAGATTTCTTCTCACTTTTAACTTTCTATATACTTGACTTCAGTCCTTATAATGAAGAACGCGTATCCTAGTTTTTACTGACCGTAGAAATTGGACCCTTTCGAATTTGTGGTTATCGCACAGATATTCGCCTAAAGCTCGGTGCAGGGCTCAAACCCACAACGTTGCCTAGTTCTTGTGATGCTCGTCCCGGAGGGCATGAAGCGGAGCTCCATCTCCAACACTCTCTTGCAGCCAACAAGAACGCCCTATGGAACGCCACACCTAGGCTGTCGTCGAGACTGCAAGGAGATGTGCTCCACCAAAATTCTACGCCATTCAAGAAGAAGACGAAAAACGAAGAATGCTAAAAGTACTGGGACCCGCACAGTAAAAATTATGATGGCGATTCGTGTAAGTACAACATATAAATAGCTTATCTAAAGTTATAGTCATATTTTCAATAAAGTTAGGTGATGTGCAAAACTTTTAACTCAGATGTGAGGTGAATCTGTTCCGCATTTCACCTTTTCAGGTGTGCTTGTTACCTCTATAGTTACGATCCCAAATTCCACCAAAAATAGTAAATCAGAGATTCTCGTGATTTATGTACAAAATAGCTGCTAGGTCAGCTCGGTTTAGCGCCGATACGCGCTTACCAAATTAAACGTCGTGAAGGTTGATGCAAAGAGTTTTATTAATTCATACGCAGAAAGAAAGATAGCACAGCAACGGTTTTGGTAGTGTTGTAGAAGCATGCTCCACAGTGAAAGTGGAACGCTGATCCACCTTGCGTCTGAGATTTGCAGTCTTACGAATCGCTCAAAAATATTGAAATTTATAGTAACAACATTATGGCGCCACTAAAAAGCGCTCAAATAAAGATACCCTGTAGATTTGTTTAGTGTCCTTGTGATAGGTTAAGCAAAATGTTCTGGAAAATTTCTGAAAAGATTTTCATTTTTGGACACCGCGTCGTTTTTTTACTAGTTGTTTTGTATACACAGTTCATTGATTTCAGCTACAAACATAATTATTGAGCATTGTGATGCTCGCGTTTTAATCCATTACTGGAGAAAAAAGGGTAGGAATTCTCCCACACCGCGCCCACAGTCCAAACGTTGCTCCATTCGATTACGGCCTTTTTCGACTAATACTACACTTTTTGGATTCGATTCGAGTCATTTGATGAAGTTTAAGAAACAGTTTTTCGTTCAAAGGAGCTCGGATGGTGCTTCAAGCAGATCCAGAAGGAGGCAGAAAGTCGTTGACAATAGTGATCTATACTTTGAAGAATAGATATTGCTTTTTTTCTTGTTAGATTGCGCATAAAAACGAAACTTTAAAAGAATTTCCCATTTTTGCGAACCTTAGGTAATTGCTTCGAGAATCATCGTTAATACATTTGCCCTCTCTACTGTTGAGGAGGAGATATAATATATATGCACTTCTCGTTAGCCTAACATAGAATGGTGCACATCAATTTTGGGTAATGCCTAGAGTAAATAGGTCTGTAGGTACAAATGACAAGTGAATCTGAACACCTTCAAGCAGGTCGAATCCGCATCCGCTCTAAGAATACCACCAAAAATTTTCGTGATTACCTCTCACAACGCCATTCATTGAAAGGATTTATACCTATATTTATGGGAGATTTATTACTCCTGCGGCCCAAAAAGCTAGCGATTCGGTATCGTAGTGCTGGTAGGGCTCAGATGTAGGCAACGAAAACAATAAGAGATGAAGCCGAGGAAGTGTTCTCAAAACATAGTCGCAGTTTTGAATTCGAGTTTGAATACAAAGAGGCTGCTAAACTCTCCGAGCTACACAATACTAAGAGCTAACTAGACCTTAAAAGACCATGGAAGCGACGACTTGTTGCTAGGGTACAGCATGTTGTCACAAGGATCCTCCTTTGATACAAAACAAAGTCACAAATTAACTTTCTGATAATCAGATGATGCGCCTAAATAATCTTCAGTTGAATGAAACCCACTGTGGGTACTACATTGTCTACAGCATCATATGAGAATCGACGCAGTTGTTGGCGGTATTATGAAATTACTGCGATTTTATCAGAGCGACTATATTCTGCAGCTACGATGATACATTGGGCGATTCCTGAACAAAAGTGGTGTACTATCAATAGATTGCTACATTCTGTTCGTAGTAATAGAGGAAATGTAGTTTTATTTTTCATATGTCCGTTCTATAAGCGATTATGCTTTGATTACCGTCTAACTAAATAACAACGAAAAACTAATTGTATGTGCTCCCGTCCTGTGTTATGAATACGGTGCAATTTTTTCTTTACTGGAATTCAAATTCAAAATTTCAGATGTCAAAACAACACTTTTAGAAGAAAAAAATGTTATCTCTTGTCCAAAATGACTTGTGCGAGATCGAACTCACATGTAGGCAGAGAAGACAATAAGGTGTGGAGCCGAGGAAGTGTTCTCGAAATATCGTCGTAGTTTTAAATTCGAGTCTGAATTTGGGAAAGATCACGAGCGCTGGTCTATCATTGACTAAAAATGATTGAGAGCTGCAGAAACACGTCCGAACAGTACATTGTACACTACCACGAAGATGGTTGAGGTTAAATAAGAGTTAAAACATGTCAATGTGCTCTAAAGCCTGCCCCAAAACTCAGTATGAGCACAGCAGCTCTAACGGTATATTAGAAAGAAATTGAAAAGTCAAAAAACTCAGCGAGTGGGCACTGCACGGGCTATATGGAAGTCAAATCAACGCTCTGGAGTATCGTCGACGACACTTCCAAACGAGAAGAATCGCTTCTTGAATATATTGCGACTTGTTTGATGTAGAGTGATCTGCAAACCTTTTGCGCCAGGAGGAACTTGAACCCACATCTAACTCTATCCGGGAGCGCGTGTTCTAACCCGTTTCACTACAAGAAAAGTGGCGTGGCAACAGCTTACAGCACGTGTTCTCGGATACAGTGAAATGTGGGTTCGAGTCCCGCCCGACGCGAAAGCTTTGCACATAAGTCTACATCAAAGAGTATCATATCTTTCGATTCGAGTGTTTTCTTAAGACCACAGCTCAAATTCCAATATGTCTGATAATCATTTTTTGAGCCACGCATGTCAGTGGTCTGTCAAAGAGGGCTGACTTATAGAGTCCGATACACGTGTTTCTACCTTGCGGTCTCGTCAGTAGGCCGTTACCCTATCTCGTCTTTTGCCATTCCTGTGTGGGTGCTCCAATCCCGTCACTAACTCTTAGTGTGAAGACTGGAGCACCCACAGAGATTAGCAAAAGACGAGGAGGGGTAATTGCCCGACTGACGAGATCGCAAGATCGAAACACGTGTATCGGGCTCTATAAGTCAGCCCTCATTGACAGACCGATGACATGCGTGGCTCAAAAAATGATTATCAGGCATATCAAAGAGTATATTTGAAAGCTCATGCCAGTGCTAGAAGTGGTTAAATAAGAAGAGCTTCAATTGTGACTTTGAGCGAAAAGGATCTTCCACGACAACCATCTAAAGTTAGCTCAGTGATGGGATCACGATGAAGCTGCATAACAACATTTGAAGTT